CAAAATATGCTATTTAAGTATGCTTACCCAGCTGGAAGAAAACCATATATTTTGCAGACGCTTCCTGCAATTCTGAAACGTTCTTCTTCCATTTACGATGTTCGTTCTGGTCCTGGAATTGTAGTCATCAGAAAGCTGTAATAATAAGCCAGTTTAAATGAGAGGATTTGAGTACTTTCCCGAGCTTACTAGCTTTAGGAGTTTCCATATTTATTTGAATTATGAATAACATAACGGTTCCTGTCTTTAATTTAGAATATTTATTAAGACCCTAAATTTGGTCTCAGGGCCGTTCAGTAATTTAGTTCCAAGAAATAGCTTTATTAGGTCAATGGAGCCTAAAAACTTTTACGGCCAGAAAATGCAGAAGTACCCGTAACTATGCCAATCTTTAAGTGTAAAATATCAGAACTGCTGAAAAGCAGACGCTAATTTCGTGTTGGCGGGATTTTCAAGGATAGGCTGGAAATGAACCTATTTTACGGCTGCAGCTCTGATATTCTGAGGGCTTTAGATCCACAAATGCAGAAATCTTTTTTTTTTTCTTTTGCATACCATGTAACATTTTTCAGTGCAGACTGAGGTTAATGAATCATCCTGAAAGGTAATAAAAAACTTTATTTGTGAGTGTACAGAGCAGTGAAGGTGTGTCCTGCAACAAACATGTTTACATAGTTACTAACAATATCTGCTTTGGTTCTGTTAGTTACTCTCACTGGAATTGTGCCCAAAGGCTCATTTTCACGAAATACGAACGGATTCAAAACGAAGCGTCCTTGTTAAAAATGTGATGGAGTCAAATGAAAAAGTTAGATTTTGGCACTGAACTGTTAAAAGGTCCGAAAAATGGCACAGATTTTTTGAGCCTACTTTGAATGGGTAGGCGTAATGTAAAAATCCTGTATCAAAAAAGATTTAAAAAGTGCTAACAAAAACAAGTTTTTGGATGAAATACATTGAACTGCATCAGGCTTTTACAGCTTTTGATTTGCTCTCGAAGTTCTGGTTACTGTTTGGCTGTCATCAAGAAAGTAGCTTTTCGTTGCCATTTAGGAGATACTTTTTTTTTGCAGAAAATTTCATTCTGAAATTCTATTAGATACTTCTATCGTCTAATTCTTTATAGTTAATAGTTGCTTCAAGATTCCATGCTGATAACTGTGTTAACAGAATTACCCAAATTCCTTAATTCTTGCACCATCTCTTTGCCACTTTATAGACCATCACTTTTGTACTAAGGAAGCGGAAAAGTTTTTGGGTTTTTAGTTTGGCTTTATAAAGGATCTTCAAATTGAGCAATATCACTTAGGGAATTTGCTAAAAATACGCACAATACGCTCACTGAGCGAGTCTATGCTGATTAAGGTACCGTAAAATCCACAGTAAAACGGAATTCTGTGCATAAAATCAAGTCAAGATGATAGTGTCTGGGACAGTCAGCAAGAAACATAGCGCGGTTGAAAAAGAAGTAGCTGTTGTAAAACATGTTTAATGTTAAAAGACTTATCTCACGCTTCAATCGACTTTAAACATTTTTTTAAATTTACACTTTTCCCTGAACGGAGGAGAAGATGCAGAACACTTCGAGCGTTTCTAATACTATTATTTTAAATTATTAAGGAAGCGCGAGTGTTCAAAGATATTAATGGCAAAAAGGTATAAAGATCTACTGCTCAAACAGTCGAACGTGTATTCTCAGGAAGCACCTGGAGTTGAGATCTTAAGAAGTAGTCTTTGACGTTTCTTGTCATCTTGCTTTGGCCGCAAAAGTATCCCAAAATGTTCACTTCTATTGTTACTGGTCGCAGTGCAGAAGCCAAAGCGACTAACCGTTCCTGAGAGTTCTTATATGACAAAATAATGGGAAAGTAACTGTTATGGCAGTGGTAAAATAACAGTAAATATTCTTTATTAGAACTCAATCCTCTCGGTGTAGATATAATTAAATCTTCTTTAATTTATATCTTTAAAACTCTCAGTAGTTCCTACCATCGTAAACATTAATGTTTTATAAAAATAAGAGGATTAGTTACTGTACAAGTTCAATAATTTGTAAACTTTTATACAGTTAAATACAATAAGAAGGTTTGTGTAGGAGAAGGGGTCAGTTACAAGCACTTACAGTCTAGCAGTTTTGGCTAAGTTAGCTTCCCTTTAATGGTGGTAAAGCAGATTCATATAAAAAATACAAGCCATATTGGGGTCACCAAGTGGTGCGATTATAATTCATCCTTAACCAAAAAAAAAGGATGCATAGAAACGCTATCTTAAAATAACAGTGGCATTTTTGGATAAAATATATGCGGTCAAATAAGAGACTTGATAGCCGGTAACGTAGTTATACTTTATGATGAATACATCAAGGTACTCGGTTGAGGAATGTTTGGAAAAAGTTTGTCTTCGAGCCGATAAATGCAACAATTATGACTTATTTAGACAAATTTTCCACCAGCTAACTTCGGCTAAATTTGTGGTGCGCACACTAGAAGGAAACACTAATCATAACTAAAATCTCTGAATTAATCTGATTGGAGGGAGCGTTAACCAGACTAACTTTCTTAAAAAAAGAAAAAAAAAATGAACTACAATTTAATTTCAATGGAAAAGTTGTATAGCCATTGTACACTGCAGCAGTACGCCACCATACTTTTTCTTCGGTTAGGACGAACCGTAGAAGGCAACAAATTTAGTGCTCTAGTAAACTCTAACAAATCATATTACATTCTAAGCGTAAGTTTTTTGTAAGTTTATCAGTACCAATTAAATCTCCTAAGAAAACCAACTGAAAAAGATTACTGCGAAAATTAGCCAAAAATATATCGTTTAATAAAGAAGCAAATGAAACTACAAGAATATTTTCTAGTTTTAATGGCTTACTGTTTGTTCTAAAAAGTTATTTATGTTATTACAGATAAAACACATTTCCTACTATATTTTAGTTTGGAATTAAAGTTTTGTTGCAGTATCCGAAAAATTATTGGTTATTCGGAGTCCATAGAACTGAATACATTATTCATTTATATTTATGAGTTTATTACTATAGATATAGTATTCGTAAAATAAATGCGTTTATATCAACGCAGTTCCCACTTAATACCGCTAGTCTCCAGGATCTTAACTACGATTCATATGCAAGATTTTGAATGTATTTCTTTCCGTACGCTCGCCACTCTAATTTCCTAAACATTCCCGGCAGTACTAAGTTATTTTGAAAGTAATCATATTTACTTTTAGGCTTGAACCTTTTAATTTCCAATTTCTCTATAATCATGTTACCCATGTTGTATTTACGTTATCCCATTATACCGTAGCAAAATGTCCTACAAATAGATAAATAAGTTTTTTTTTTTTTGATCTATAAGCTGTTATAAAGTCATTATTTTAGATGAATAAGAATGCAGTTAACTAGCCAGATTAGGGGACGTCCAATGATAAGAAAAAAACCTTGTGATCACAAAATCAACAAGAACTTTATGCTCTTAAGTGATTAAACAAGTCATTCAGTTTATCTTTCAGTTTCAAATTGAATATTGTATCAAATTTTTTTTTTCTTCTTCACTCAAGGCCAACTTCTGTAACTTCTAAGAAAACAAAAAATCAGCAGCATAAAATTTTTCTATGAGATTGTTCAGTACTTGCCAGTAAAACTGGAAATTCTAAAACTGTAAGACCAGCAAAGGTTTGGAGAGGCAAGAGCGATATTTGGAGAAAGTTGTGGCATCAACAGCTTGATATTGTGCTGCTACTGGCGATAATGCGTGCGGTCTTTGGATGCGGATACGCGAGTAAACATTTGACATTGACTTCAGAGCGGGCGTTATGCCGTTTTGCGTTCCACAGCGATGTTGGCTGAACGAGTGGAGTTTTCATTTGGTTTTGCCTGTCCGTCCACCTTTCCGGCGTTATCTGTAACTTTTGACCGATTTTTATGCTTCAGGTTTTGAGAACTGGAGTTCTGAAATAAATTTTCCACCGTTGCAGCTATGCATTTTTTGTGCATCTCCAGTAATCATGGTGGAGGTTATAGTCTTAAACAGTCTGTTAACAAAGATTGGATCGGCGTTATTTAGTACTTTTCAAAAAATTTTTTAGTTAGTGCTTGTGACAGTTGTTACTGTTTGGTTGTTGACTGGAAATTAATCGCTTATAGATTAAAAGCTTTACTCTGAAATTGTTTGCTTTGCTGAATTAAGGTTGAACCAAGGTTTGACATCGAAGCAATTCTCGCTTTTAACGTTTTCTTTTTTTTTTTAGCCGATTTCCCCACAAGAAATTACCATCAAAACTGTAGATACATTTAACTCCCAGGCGAAAGCAAAGATTAGTAGTTCTGAACAGATAATTTTTTAAGAATTTCTTAATAATCAAGCAGTAGTTGGCTTTGTTTGCTTATTTGTTTGCTTTTTCATTTGGTACTTTTATTCTATTTCTTTGGAAAGCAAGAGGAGATTAGAATCAAGAGGATTCTTTTGGATAGTTTTTCTTCAAGAAATTCTTTGTGATTAATGAGTATTTTTAAAAAGCACTAGCTGAAAAGCAGACTCTTTGTTTTACTAAACAGAAATAAGTTTCTTAAACTTATTTTTTTCAGTGTGTTAAGGCTCTGTCTGTGATTATGACTTTCATTTTTTTTTTTTTTTTCTGATAACTCACGAGATTTATATGGTGTTAAAACTTGAAAAATAAAGAGGATTTCTCTTATTTCTAGGAAATCCATTTTGTAGTAAAGAAGATTTGTTAAAAAATTTCTGGAATTTTGAAGGAAATGATCACAGTTAACTAGAATAATACCGCTCAGTCTGGGAAACTTATTTTTTAAACTTCGGCAGACAATTACTGTGGTTCTTCTAATTCATTTTTCTACTTTATTCAGTGCGATAGAATGATGGTGGCTTTTTTGTCAAGTATAATTCTGTCGGTTGACGTTAACGTACAAGTTTTCAGAGTAATTGCTTGCCAGTTGCTTAATTGCTTTTTTTTTATCTTCACTTTTAGGCAACATGGCGATGTTTGGGATGTCGGATGACATGAAGGCGCAATTGATCCAGGAGATCCAAAAAAGGCCTTTAATATGGAAAGTGAGTAACTTCTGTATATGTTTTTGAATACTTTTACTTTTTCTCTTTTCATTTCTTGTATAGACAAGCAACTCGAACGTTTTGAAGTAAGGTTAGTCCTACTTGCAGCTTTTATAATTTATGTTAGCGTTGTTTAAGTTTTTTAAATTGAGTTTATTATGGAAACAATTTGGGTATAAGAAATAGTAATAGTGACATGATGACAAGATGTTATAATTTTTCATCACTTAAAAGCTACAACATTGGAACCAACATAAGGCTTCAAGTTAGAAAATCGATCAGGAGCTTGAGGAGCAGAGAAACTTTAAGCTTAATTGGTTGCTCTTAGTAAATGCTGAAATTAACAGGTGTCTGACCCGAAATATACTGATGTTCCTTCTCGTTGGCTTGCGTTTGAAGAAATCGCACACGAACTTAGTGATTCGTATATGACATTTTCAAGTAATTTGGATTTAAAGAAAACTTTTGTTCCTAATAAGATTCTGTTTTACATGAATTTCTCTTTAGGCGACATGATAAAAATTGCTTGGAAAAATATGATGGATTATTACAACCAGATAAGAAGAAGGCACGATCGCGCAATGATTGCTGGGACTCCATTTACAAAACCAAAATGGCAGTTTTATGAAATAATGCATTTTGTCAGGCAAGACAAACCAGCTGTTAAAAGAAAATACAACTGGATTGAACCATCGAAAGTTAGTTGGTTCTGCATTGCAAATAATTATAGTTTTTTGGTCGTTTGTAAGCATCAGCAACCAAAATAATTCTTTTGGATTACAGATTTCAGAGTTGAGTAGTGGTGTTCCGGCTTCCAAATTGATGGGAGTAAGTATTTTCATCGTCTTATGGGTTACCTGTTTTTCCTTTGTTTCAAATCGTTTTAAACTTCGTTGAATGACTTTTATCGATGTTTTTCTTACTTATTTTTCTTACCTTTTTGTTATTAGTGCTTTTTTATTTGATTGTTACCAAATTTTAAACTACTCTCTGCAGAAAGATTACGAAGAGGTAGTTGGGGATCGAAACATTGTTCGAGAAAAGACTTTGTGTGGGTCTGCGCCTTACAGTGAACCTCATTCACGCTCTGTTGTATCTGAAAATAATAGAGCGAGAAATGCAAAAAGGTGCCTAATGCAGTGGTGTAATGTTTTTGAGGCCTGTTTAATGTTATTTGTTTGGATGCTGTTTTATGAAAAATAAAAAAAAAGGGAAAGTTTTGCACATTTTATGTATTAAAACGCAGAGTGTTTGTTAGAGCTGAAATGGAACTCAAGACTCATTTTTAGGCAGCAAGAAGACGTAAGTAAATCGGTTCCTGCTATAAAAGTTACTGAACGGGAAGGCAGTAGCAAAGGTACTCTTGGATCAAGAAGTACGCCTCGCAGAGAAGGTTTGAGGCAAGCACCAAGGAAGTCATTGTGGCTGGTAAAGAAGGAATATGTTACGGATGAGGCTGAAGAGTGGGATGTAAGTTTTAGTGAGTCGTGTAATGTTTCAGTTTTTTGTTTTTCTGAGCTTTCCGTAATACTTTTTCTGTTTTTATCATTGTTACGGTATTTTTTTTTGAAGGCAGAACCAGCCCGAAAAGTAGCTAAACGTCCACAGTTAACTAGTTCGCCAGCCAAATTGCAAAGAGGAAGGACCCAGTCTCACAAGAATGAAACGGACAATTTTTCACCCGTATTAAAACAAGTCCCTCCAACAAATGAAATACTGAGCTCTATTGATGCCAACGCTACTGAACCGCTTTCTAATATGGATTCAGCTCTTGCTTTTGGTAAGTACTGTCAGATGAAGTTAGCTTTATCTAACATTCCAAATCAGGTTCTGTAAAAGCGTAATTTTTTAGGTCGTCAGTTAGTTGCCCGACTTAATGCTTTACCTGCCAGTAATTACCGCAGCGCCTGTAGAGAAATTGAAAAGATTGTAGCTAAGTTTGAAGCATTAACCGACAAAACTAAAGGAAGAAAAGTTGTAGTAAACTAACCTTAATTAAGGAAGTTACACAGTATTTTATGCATTTTTTAGCTTCCATTATTATTTTTTATTATGTTATATTTTTTATTGTCATCTATAACTTCTTTAAAGGTAGTAAATAATTTGCTTTAGAAGCATTCACGATTGATCTCATTGATCCTAACCTTATTTTTGCTGAAAGGTTGCTGATTTTTGACGCACCGAACTATTTAGTTTTTTGATAAAAGTTGATTAGTTTTTGGAAAAATGAGGTTTATCTGCTCTTTTCACCAATTCTAACTGAATACTGAAAGCTTGTGAATTTTGTACTTCTTGTTTACTAAACCGTATTTCTGTTTGCTGTGTTTTTAGAATTTCTTTGTTTTCTACCAGTGTTTTTGAGTGGATACTGGAAAAAAGTTTTCGTGTAAAAGATTCATTTTTTTAGTGCTAGGTTGTGTTGCTTGTAGAAGTTTGACTGTCTGTTTGAAAATGGTCTGTTTACTTTGAATTTATACTGTTTTTTGTGTCATTTTGGACGTTTTGATGAATTTTTTGTCTGTACGTCTATTCTACAACGGCTTCTGCATATTTGTTTTAAATTTTCTTGTTGTTCTGTTGGATTTTGGGTTTTTTGCTGCTCAGTTATATTCTATGTATCTTGTCCGCCATGGTCTGTAAGGTGCAGAAGTATTGTAGTTTTATCTAGTTAAGGTAATAAATTGGAAAAAAAAGTTACTTTTTGAAGAAGTGGCAGAAAGTCAAAGTTGGCTTTGTGTTCGGTCCTTCTGCTGCTTTGGTTTTCGCTGTACTGCAGCAGAAGTCCTCTTGTTCAACGGCTTTTTACAAACGCCATCAAAGTATAAGCGACTTTTATATAAATTCCCTATTTGCCGAAGTTCTAGGCTGACTGAAGTTTGTTTAATAAGTAGGTATGAGCTGAACGTAACCAAAAAAGACAGCTAAAGACCAAAGTCTAGATTTTTTTCTTTTCATTTCAATTAAAAGTGTGGTAGGAAGTAAATGGTGCCGTAGCGACTTTTAGCTTTTTAGCGTTTCAGCGTTTTCTGAAACTCAACTCAAACAAGTTAATGCCTCTGCAAATCCCTGGTGAATAAAAAAGTGATTGAACTAGTAATTTAAATGTCTTTAAATAACAAAATTTATTTGTTCTTGAGTGATAAATAAATATTATTCTTTGTGTGGCCCGAAATGTAGACGTTCAGCACTTAATAATCTAAGCCACTGCTTCTGCAAATAGCAGGAAAGTATCTAGTATCATACGGGCATAAATTTAAGACATCTACTCTTCAAGGTGCTTGACACGCTTTTGCTGTTATATGTTACTATTGAAAACAGCAGAAAACTTAGATATGATCAAAAGTTTTCTTGGCTAATTTTACCATTTCCAGAGACTATTCCATTTACTCTTCTTTCGAAGCCCCAACTTTTTTGAATTTAAGCACTTTTAGCACGGTTTCCCATGTAATAGAGTGGAATCCTCCGTCAAAGTCGCCATTGTGATTAAACAAAAAATCACTGTCTAGATTGCTATTTTTTCCAGACTTTCAGGCTACTTATTTCATTAATAATTTTCCTCGTGTCTCTTTTTAGCAACTTTAAAGCATTCCCATTTTTGTTTGGTAAATCTGTAGGTGAATAAAATTTTGAGGAGCTTCACATCATACACATGTTTTTTTTTATATAGTTTGTGCTCAAATATTTAGGCAACGTTTTTTAGCTTTAGATTATATATATATATATATATATATATATAT